CTTCTTTTTCTACTCCATTTTTTCTAAGTAGGTCAGTCACAAATAAACAATTTTTCAAGAATGAATGCAATCTCATCTCTGCATTTCCTGCATGTATGTCATTTATGTTGATGCCAAAGCAAGTCCCAGTGAAGTAGCACGAATGAACCCCTCCCCACTGCAAGCTGGGCAGAAAGCCTGCACTGGGAGGAATTACATCCCATCCCCAGCTATTATCTTCCTCATTAAATCAATCCCTTCCTATGAATCTTCTCCCTCAAGGCACCCCCAGAGCTCCACCAGGAGGTAACGCAGGGGTTACAAATTAGCAGGAAAAGGTTAAAAACTTTTCTGACTTCCTGCATCACAGCCAGCTATGACTCAGCGACAAAGTTCTACCCTCTCCCAGAAACAACGGAGATCAAGAGGAAAAAAGGAAAGAAATGCTGACGGGGACCCACAGAGCCCACTGCAATTTGGTAAAGCACCAAACCAGCCAGTACATCTTATGGAAAAGGAGAGCAGATGCAACCACAGTGAGCACTGACAACAGCCAAGCCACAGGGTTGCCAATGACAGTCACCACTCTGGAGGAGCGCGCCGAAGGCAGCTGCAGAGAGGACAGCTGCTCGCTGAGGAAAAAGTCAGTCATGACTGAGGGGAGGGGAGGTTGGGCCGCTCTGAGGGAGCGGCTATAACATCTGCCACATGTCCTCAACCGAGACCTCAACCAGAAGGCAGAGATTCCAGGAATTATGGGCCAGGGCTTGAACAGCCAAGGTTCAAAGGCTATGAAGATTTTAGACACAATCCTTGGAGATTTTTGTAAACTGATGCGCACCTAACATGTACCTTTGTTTTTCTTTCTTTTCTTTTTTTTTTTTTTTAAGGTAGAATAATAGTTCTGCAAGCCTGGTTATTCCCACGTTTTTCAGAAAAAGAAATTTTAATTGAGAGCCTCCTATCCTGCAGCTCAGAGCAACTAACTTTTCCTCCAGATGGCAAGTATAGGACATAAAGGAACCACAAATAATTGTTGGTGTGCTGAGCACTGTGACCTGCTCCATCGCCAAAACCTCAAGCTGAAAAATTCCTCTTCCTGCCCTAAATCTTCTTGACTTATCATCCAACAGCTCTCTCATGCCTGCTGCATCTGTCCCCACCTTCTCTGACCCTCCGTTCTCTAGATCCTTCTCTTGTGCCCTCATTCATCAGTGTCCTGGCTCCTTTTGCCCCCTACCCATCCTGGACTCCAGAGAAAATTATTTAAACAAGATACTTTCCAGAACCTGAAAACTGCTCTTTCCCAAGCTATGGCTGGACTGTCAATCATCAGTCTGGGACACTCTTACCTTTTCTTCCCCTTGTTTCATAGCGATATGGACAAATCACCACCATGTGGTCACTTTCTTGAAACCCTGGCTGGGTTCTAACCCCCTACTGACAGTCTTTCTTGTTAACTTTTCCTGTTGTCATATGCCACTTCTAATAGCATTCATCTCCCCCAGACATATGTCTGTTTGACCGACCTAACTATAAAGACAAGGTTATGTTTTACTTTTATGAAAACTTGAGATTCTCTCAAGTTCTTTACTTAGAAAAGTCTCTGTATTTTTCACCAATTTAATCTTCCCTCCTGTTACAAAAAGGAAGTAGTCTTACTATATTCTACAAAGTTATATCTGGACTCCTCGTCTTCTAGCTTCTCACTTTCTCCAGGATCTTGCTCTATCAATTTTGTCCTCTCTCCCTTGGAACCTGTCTTTCTGTTACCGTGAGCTCTTTCTTCTCTGTTGTAACCAGGCCCAGGTAACCCATCTCAAGAAATAAATAACTTTGCTGAAAACATGTTTTAGCTATTCCCTATAAAGACACTTAAATTGCCTAGGCTCACAGATGTCCCATAAGAAAACATACACAAAAACAAACATCCCTGGTGATAATGAGCTCAAAATAAAGTATTATAGTCAACAAATGAAATGGATAAACCACCAAGAGGAAATGCCAACAGATACAATACATGAGGGAATTATCATTCCAAGTATCTGAAAAGAAACAGATTCCCTGTCATCTTTTCTATTCAACAGTGACCTGGGGATCATATTAAATAAAATAAGTCAATGAAGAAAATTAAATACATAGGATTGGAAAGAGAAAACAAACTTCTGATTTTCAGACTATATTATTATATACATAGAAAATGCAAGAAAATGTACCATATTAGAGTTGACACTTCTGAAAGATTCTGAGATATGAGATCAGTATAAAAAATTTTGTTGAACTCATTCTGTTCACAATAACATCAAAAATATACATTCAGTAAAAATTTGCTAAGCATCTGCTGTGTACCAGGTACTGAATTATTCACTAGAATAATATGTACAAGACTCTCATGGAGAAATTATTAACTTTTCCTGAAAAATATGAAAGGAGACTAAGTAAATGGAGCAATCTATCATGTAAGAGGAGAAAGCTCTCCTACAGAGGATAACTCTTTTCATATTATTCTATAAATTTGACAAAAGTGCAATCAAAACCCAAAATAATTTTAATTGTAATTTGACAATACAATTTTTAAATTAATATAAAAAAACAAAGGAATAAGAATATCAAAAAACAAAGGAATAAGAATATCAAACAATTTTAAAGAAGAAAAACAAGGTGGAGGCATTTGTCCTATAAGATAAAATTTATTTTCAAGGTATACTCATTAAGAAAGTAAGTTCTTGACACTAAAGTTCACCTTGGGAAGGGGGAGACACCTGACCTGGGCCACTTTTATAGGCCCTGCATTGCCTCAGGGTACTGATAACAAATCTACTGTCAGTTTGTTTTTGCCAAATCATAAAGTTGAATTCTCTGCTACCCTCCACAAAAAGCTCCTAAACTAAATAGACAAAGGAGTCAGTTCTGTGTCTGGACAATGGAAATAGCTTCTCAGAAGTAATCTGTAAAGTGAAAGTGAAAGTCGCTCAGTCCTGTCCAACTCTTTGCAACCCCATGGACCATATAGTCCATGGAATTCTCCAGGCCAGAGTTGAGTATCAGATATGAGTCTTTCAGAATCCCATGCAGAAAGGCAGCCTTATCAGGAGACAAAATAGAAGTTGAGAATTGCCCTGCCTGGGCAGAGAAAGGTATTTGAGACAGAAGGCCAATCATGGTGACCTTGAATGACCTTTGTTAACAGGAGGTGGTAAGCTTCAGAAAACCAAGATGAGCCATTTGCCACAAAGCAATTCAGGGCTAGAGGGCAGGGGCATTAATTAAACTCCTTAGAAGGCAGACTCAATCTTCTCATTGTCTCCACCCCCACCCTCTTCTCTCCAATCTGGAAGAGATCCCTTTGGGATGGTCCTTTCTCTAGGGCTGAGAAGTAACAGCAAGCCAGATTAGGGCAAGAACTCAGTTCCTCAGGCATGAATATTAAATGAGATTTAAGACAGATGGAATATTTGTTAATTCTTTCTGTTAGTAGATCCATTCACAACAGCCAAGAAAGGACCATCCCAAACACACAGGGATGTCTTTTAGTCCTTCCTCTTGAAGAAGACTAATATTCAGTATTTCTCTCTCTCTCTCCCTCCCTTCTTCTTTCTCTCTCTCACACACACACTCTCTCTCACACACACACACATACACACACACATTCTCTCTCTCTCTCTCTCTCTTCATCCAAGGAAACCAAACTGCCCTCAGCTGTGAACCCACATTCCCACTGATACCCGCAGGANACATAATTTTGTAAACTTTTTAAAACTTATTCTATTCCAAGCAATTGCCACATCCTTAAATACTCTTTGAAAACAGTGTTTTTAGGCTGAAAACTATTGCATTCTATGGATAGACCATAATTATTTCAATTTCTCCACTGCTGATGGTTTATGTCACATTCATTCTTTCACTCTCTATGCTGCAATTATTATAAATCTTGTCTGCACATCTATGATTATTTCCTTACAATTTATTTTTAAAAGTAAAATAATTGGAACAAAAGTAATGCATACTTTTAGGATTCTTGCTACATACAGCTGATATTTTTCCTCCAGAAATACAACCATACTACTACTATGCAGTATATTAATCAGTGAATGAGCAAATTATTTTTAAGATTCTCCCTGATACTCCTGCTAAAATCTTTCAGACTTAAACCAGTAGAAACTAAACTTTATGGGCATAACCCATTGTACTGGGGAGACTCAGTTCAGTTCAGTTCAGTCACTCAGTCGTGTCCGACTCTTTGTGACCCCATGAATCACAGCACATTTTTTTTTTTTTCCTTTTTTGGCCGCAAGGCATGTGAGATCTTAGTTCTCTGACCAGGGATGGAACCCATTCCCCCTGCATTGGAAATGCCAAGTCTTGACCACTGGCCACCAAGGAAGTCCCTATAAAACTGTTCTTTCATTAGGCTTTTGAGGGACCCCAGCAGCCTCCTCTGACCCACTTGGAAATGACAACTCGGTATGTGAACACAAATCAGCTCTACTACAGGGCCAAAGACCAAATGATGCAGGAAGCTGACGGACAGAGCAGGCAGCTTCCTTTCTGCTTTACAGTTCTCATTTCAGAAGGGTGAAGGTTGGGCTTCCCTGGCGGCTCAGTGATAAAGAATCTGCTGGCCAGTGCAGGAGACACGGGATCCAGCCCTGAACTGGGAGGATCCCACGTGCCGCTGAGCAACTTGCGCCTGGGCCGTGACTGTGGAACCTGTGCTCCAGAGCCCAGGAGCCCCAGTTACTGAAGCTGGCAAGCCCAGAGCCCAGCACTCTGCAGCAAAGGGAGCCACGGCAACAAGAAGCCCTCACACTGCAGTGAGAGAGGCCCCCAGTCGCCACAACTAGAGAAAGCCCGTGCAGCAAGGAAGACCCAACGCAGCCAAAAAACAAAAATAGATTAATTTTTTTTAAAAAGGTGAAGGCTCATACAGGGAATACAAGAGCTAGGGAGAGTAAGGGTAAAGAGCACAAATGAAAAATATTCACTGAGGTTGTAATGCCACGATCCATTCCTTATCCTACCTTGAGTTGCTTTTCTCCTGGGCAAAACTGATATCACTCCACCAAGTCCAAAGTGCCAGCTTGGGTTTGCTCAGATATTGGTGTTTCAAAGAGGGACTGAGCAACACTGGCATTCGATAAGTCATTCATTTCTGCATTCATGCCTTCAATGTTTTACTGAGTGCTATAGACCAGGAAGGAAAAGAAACAGATTGTTGCAATGCAGTGCAATTGGTGGTTAAACTGGATTTGGGCTTGTGGTGCTGGGCCAGGGTGTGGAGAAAATTTCCCGGGACCTGGAACTTGAAGGACAAGTGTGTAGTATATATATATACATATATATATACACACACATATATATACATATATACACACACATATATATACACACATATATATACATATATATATATACACATATATATATACATATATATATAAGCAAGTTCCCAATTTGCTTTTGAAGCATTTCATCTGACCAGAATGAAACAATGATTCTAATACAATGTGCTCCATTTCTCAAAAATTAATAAAATATCCTGAATGTTTTTTAATTGCTTAAAAAAACATTTTTTTTTACTTAAAATTTTTTAAATCATGAAAGTAAAACAGTTTCCCATAGGTACCCTAGAAAATTCAGAGATGGATAAAGGAAAAATTTTAAAACTAGTGGGAATCCAGGTATTAGAGAAAACATTATCACTATTTTGGTGTTTTGTTTTACATTCTATGATAGACTTTTGGTTTTATGTAAAACTGGGATCACATATTGTATACATAATTTTGTAAACTTTTTAAAACTTATTCTATTCCAAGCAATTGCCACATCCTTAAATACTCTTTGAAAACAGTGTTTTTAGGCTGAAAACTATTGCATTCTATGGATAGACCATAATTATTTCAATTTCTCCACTGCTGATGGTTTATGTCACATTCATTCTTTCACTCTCTATGCTGCAATTATTATAAATCTTGTCTGCACATCTATGATTATTTCCTTACAATTTATTTTTAAAAGTAAAATAATTGGAACAAAAGTAATGCATACTTTTAGGATTCTTGCTACATACAGCTGATATTTTTCCTCCAGAAATACAACCATACTACTACTATGCAGTATATTAATCAGTGAATGAGCAAATTATTTTTAAGATTCTCCCTGATACTCCTGCTAAAATCTTTCAGACTTAAACCAGTAGAAACTAAACTTTATGGGCATAACCCATTGTACTGGGGAGACTCAGTTCAGTTCAGTTCAGTCACTCAGTCGTGTCCGACTCTTTGTGACCCCATGAATCACAGCACGCCAGGCCTCCCTGTCCATCACCAACTCCCAGAGTCTACCCAAACCCATGTCCATCAANGACCGGATGCCATGATCTTAGTTTTCTGAATGTTGACCTTTAAGTCAACTTTTTCACTCTCTTCTTTCACTTTCATTAAGAGGCTCTTTAGTTCTTCAATTTCTGCCATAAGGGTGGTGTCGTCTGTGTATCTGAGGTTATTGATATTTCTCCCAGAAATCTTGATTCCGGCTTGTGCTTCTTCCAACCTAGCGTTTCTCATGATGTACTCTGCATAAAAGTTAAATCAGCAGAGTGACGATATACAACCTTGATGTACTCCTTTTCCTATTTGGAACCAGTCTGTTCCATGTCCAGTTCTAACTATTGCTTCCTGACCTGCATACAGGTTTCTCAAGAGGCAGGTCAGATGGTCTGGTATTCGCATCTCTTTCAGAATTTTCCACAGTTTATTGTGATCCACACAGTCAAAGGCTTTGACATGGTCAATAAAGCAAAAATAGATGTTTCTCTGTAACTCTTTTGTTTTTTCAATGATCCAGCAAACGGCAATTTGATCTCTGGTTCTTCTGCCTTTTCAGCAGTGGCCACAGGACTGGAAAAGGTCAGTTTTCATTCCAATCCCAAGGAAGGGTAATGCCAAAGAATTGGGGAGACTACTAAACTAACAAAATTCTAATCATTTTAGAGAAGAATATACACCAAGATTTAATTCTAAAGTTGTTACATGTTTATCGGATAGAAAACTGTGTAGCCAAAATGATGTTGCTGAAGAATATGAATATCCACTATGGATCAAAAGCAGTCTCCAAAGTGATAAATAGAGAATGATCTCACTTTTGTGGAATATGTACATAAGTATATAATATGTAACATATGTATATTATAATGATGCAATATTAGAAACCAAACATCAGTTTTATTGAGAAATAATTGATATATATTACTGTATATGTTCAAAGTATACAGCATGATGCTTTGGTTTACATATATTGTGAAATGATTACAACAGTAGGTTCAGACAACATCCAGCATCCATCTAGCCACAATAAAAAGAAAAGAAAGAAGATAAAGATTTTTTTTCCTTGTAATAAGATCTCTTAGGATTTACTCTCAGCTTCACTACATATCATACAGTAGTCCTAACTGTGGACTGTACATTACATCCCTAGCATTCATTTTATAAGTGGGCGTTTGTCCTCTTGTCTGCCTTGCTCTTATTGCCCCTCTACTACCTGCCCCCTCCCCCACCTCTGGTAACCACAGTCTGATCTCTTTTTCCATGAGTTGAACTTTTACTGTTTAGATTCCACACGAGATCATATACTATTTGTCTTTGTCAGACTTATTTCACTGAGCATAGTGCCTTCAAGTTCTATGTGTGTTTTTGCAAATGGTAAGATTTCCTCATTTTTAACTGGTTAATAATATTCCATTGTATATAGATATAGATATAGCACAACTTGTTTATTTATCTACTGATGGACACTCAGATTGTTTCCATGTCTTGGTTATTATAAACAGTGGTGGAATGAATGGGGTGCAGATATCTTTTCTCACTAGTCTTTTTGTTACTTTTGGATGTATTCTCAGAAGTGGAATTGCTGAATTTTATGGTAGGGAAAACAACTAGACCATTCAGGTATGACCTAAATCAAATCCCTTACAATATACAGTGGAAGTGACAAATAGATTCAAGGGATTAGATTTTTTTTTTCATTTATTTTTATTAGTTGGAGGCTAATTACTTTACAATATTGTAGTGGGTTTTGTCATACATTGACATGAATCAGCCATGGATTTACATGT